TGGGCTGTGCTCACACATTGCTGGTCTGGTGAGCAGCAGGGCAGTTGGTCTGACTCTGCCCTGAGAGGAAGATACCGTAATCAATGTGGGAGTGACTATGAGTGGAGATAAAGAATGTGGGATAATGTGACAACATACAATCTACAAAAAACAGGAGAACAATCATGAAAACACAAAAAAAGGAGATATCAGATAAATCGTGAAATATTTACTAAAAAAATATAGGTCTCTTAAGTAGTATTATAGCTAACCAGTAATAGAAGAATCAGCTTTCTTCGGTGATTTCATTCCCTTTATAATGAAACTTAAATTTCCATCAAAAGCTGGGCACCAATGGCTCATGCTTGTAATCCTAGCTATTCAGGAGGCTGAGGTCTAAGGATCTGCCTGCCAGCCCAGGCAGAAAAGTCTATGAGACTCTTATCTCCAATAAACCACTAGAAAATCAGACGTGCCGCTGTGGTTCAAGTATTAGAGTGCTCACCTTGAGCTGAAGAGTGCAGGGACAGTGCCCAAGCCCAAAGTTCATGCCCTATGACGAACAAAGAAAACAAAACCAAACAAAACCACAAACTTCCACCAAGCCCAAAACCACAGCACATGCTATGTTTTCTCTTCAGAAGAAGGAAACCCATTTGTACCTGAGTGTTCCCCAAAACTTACATGACTAACAAGCCCTAATCAGGGTTCAGGCACTGTTTCTTGCCTGTATCAATGTGAGACTGATACAGTACTGGAGCCTACACAATGGTCTCAGGCCTTCTGTGTCCTGGGGCTCTGTCTCTTGTGAAGACAGTGAGTGAAGTGTGGGGAAGCCCTGAAGAGTGTTCATATGTCCCAGAAGTCTGAGATTGAGCCCTTGTTCAATGTGCACAGCGTTCACAGCCCTCCGTAGTCAGTCTCTGTCATTTTATTTAAAGAAACCTGGCATGAGTGCATCATTAATATTTAAGTGTGTGTCTTGCATCCTTTTCTATTAATTTAAACATTTCTCATTTCCTTGTAATGAGCCTTTCAGATGCCTGGAATTATGACACTGCACAGCCCAAGACTTGGTGGATTCTCCAGTGGTGTAAACTGCTTCATCACGAGGCTCTCAAATTCATCTGGAAAAAAAAATGGTGTAGAGCACTGAATTCATTGAAGTAACATAAATTGGAGAAATGCAAGTCTGGAATGCATGCTAACATGATTATCTTTAGCACTCTGTGTGCACACAATTTCATTTTAAGCTTGAAAAGCATTCTAAGGACAAGCTAGGTGAGCCTAAGTATTCACTATTTAATCCTATAAGTGAAGCCACTAAAGGGATAGAGGAAAGCATATTCATAGTATTCAAAGTATTTCATAGTATATTTTCACAGATTTTTTGTCATTCCTTAAATGTTTTAGTTTTCTATGATTTTCTGTCTTTTTCTAAATTAATTTTATTTTCAAGGTATGTAAGAAGGGATTAGTTACATATACAAGGTAATGAGTACATTTCTAGTGGAACATTGTTATTCCTCCCTCACTTTTTCCCACGTTCCCTTCCCCCAAATCTCTCCCCACAAGTTGTGAAGATCATTTCCAACATACCTTCTTGTGTATCACTATTGGATTGCTTCACACTTTGTTCTTTGCCCCACGATTTTGTTGTTCTCCTTTCCTTCCTCAATTCAGATAATGTAAGTACAAGACACAGTACCAAAATAAATACAGTGACAACAGGGGAAAAACCAAAGGAAAACAAAAATGAAAGAAAAAAGAAATAGCTTCACATAGGATATGAAAAACAAAAACAACAAAGAAAAATATCCTGTTTCCATATGTTGGAGTTCATTTGGTTTAGCGCCATCTGACATGGTATCATTTTTTTCTATGTCTCCATACATCTATCTATTCATCTATTATCTATCTATCCATCTATCTAGCTATCTATCATCAACAGTCTTATTTTATTCCATCTCTGTATAATAAGGTATTTTGTTCATGATAACTAAACAAACACGTCTATGAAAAAAATCAACTGATAAGTCAGGGAATCACTTAAAATAATTAGTTGTACATCTCTGGAACCATCTTTTTCAGAAAGTTTGACTTTTATAAAAGGCTAGCATGAAAAGCATTTCCTGAACAACATGGAAATCACAATTCTAAAACCACAGGATATAAAGTCATTTGGTTCCTTGGATTCAAGGGACGACCATTTTCTGCTAGCCCAGCTGCACTACTCTTGTTAGGTAGACCTTACTGAAACCTGGGCAAATTATGGACTGTTTGGCACCTTACTATCCCCTGCTGATTTGCATGTGCCCAGAACACAACACAGTCCATTAGAACGACCCTGTGCAGCAGTCAGTACCAGTCTGTATCAGTGAGCACACAGCATGGACATGAGGGCACCTGCTCAGCTCCTGGTGCTCCTGCTGCTCTGGGTCCCAGGTAAAGGAAGACAATGCCTAGATTTCCTCAACACATGGGAAACAAGGCTTCTTCAAGGAAATCTTCCAATAAATGAATTATTATTGATTTTGTTTTTTCAGTATCAGGTAATAGATGTGACATCCAGATGACCCAGTGCCATCTCTGTCTGCATCTCTAGGAGAAAACGTCACTATCACTTGGAGGGCCAGTTAGGGCATTAGCACTTAATTAAAATGGTTGTCAGCAAACACTAGGGAAACCTCCTGACCTCCTGATACTTAGAGAAACCAGGTGGCAGTCTGGGGTCCCATCAAGGATCACTGGTAATAGATGTGGCTGGAGTTCACTCTCACCATAAGTAGCCTGCAGCCTGAATGTTGCAACTTATTACTGTCAACAACATGACTTTACTTCTCACAGTTAAACAAGTGATCACATAAAACTTCCAAAGGAACAGAAGTGTGTCTAGTATGATGAACATTCCACAAGAAGCCAGATAGGGAACAGGTCTCTCTGTATTTGGAATCTCATTAATACAGTATAGAACTTGTCCCTTTGCTCAAATATTTGTCTAGCCAAAGTCTAGAGCATATGAAAGTGACCTAAATATACTTTAATCTATGAATGCTTCCTGTTATTTATCCAAACCACCTGTTTCTTTCTAACTTATTATTTTCTTTTTTAAACATTTTTTAATTTTTTAAAATTTTATTGTAAAGGTCATATACAGAGAGATTACAGTAACATGAGTCAGATAATGAGTACATTTCCTTTTGAACAGTGTCTCTCCCTCCCTCATTATCACAGCTTTTTCCCTTCTAATTTCCCTCATGCCAAAGTTTTATACTTCATTTACGACATGGTGTCTAGTAGGTTTCAGTGCTAAATTGCTTCACTTTTTGTTCCACCATTTTTGTACTTCATCTTCCTCTCCCTAAATAAGGTAAACATATATATATATATATATATATATATATATACATATATATATACGTTATATATATATGACAAATTGTATAGAAATTAAAAGCGACAGAAGGAAATAAACGAAAAAAAGGAAAGAAGAAAAGAAAGAAAAATGCAAGGAGTTGAATTAAAAAGCTATATTTCCATTGCCTGGAGTTCATTTTGACAAGGTTCATTCTATATGATCATATGCACATAGATTTTGAGCCTTTGTGATCCTTTCCTAAGATATCCTCCTTTGTTCTCACTGTGTGGATGTTTAGATGACTTTTTAATTATTTCCAGGGGCATTCATCTGTCTTTTACTATCCATTGGGTTTCATGGTAGATTTATAGGCACATTCTAGCTATTAAAAATGAGTTGAAAACATGCAGTTTATGGTTCTTTGGCTCTGGATTCTTTTCTTAGTATTATGTTTCCTGGTGTTTCCATTTTCTTGTGAGTGGGGCAATATCATTCATTCTGATGGAAGCATAGAGTTCAAATGTGTATATAAATACTACATTTTCTTGTTCCATTCATCCACCGAGGGGCATCAGAATTTATTTATATGGTCCTGCTGGTGGCTTTAGTGTAACCTGGTTTTTGGTCATTTGAATAGATGAGATGATGTGAAAGAAAAGTGCAAATGCAGTACATCTTGGAAAGGAGACAAATATGGAGTTTTCCTAAGAATTGTCATTGTGAGACTGTGAATGGTCAGGATTGGCATATTAAGTGCAAGATTCTCACTAATATTCACCAAAATTTTCAGTAGTTAAACACATTAAACATTAACAAAACTCTTCCAACAGATACACCATCTGAAACATGATATGGTTGGTAGCAGAATAGTTGATTACAAAAATAAGGGAAGCATTACTTCTTGTGGTTCCTCATGCAAAATATTTAAGTCATTGGACAGGATGAGAACAGAGTGCAGGGTTCATGGCTTTGTCTTAGCCCCTTGTTTGAGTTTTAAAGTCATGTTTAAGTTCCTCTTCTTCAGTACATATCAGTTCCAGACAGCAGAGCAGACTTCTGATATCTCTCTCAGTACAAGCACCACTGCAGAACCTTGAGTCACCACATGCTCAGGAGTCACCTTTGTCACTGCTGCTCAGGTCAGCCAGACTATCCTGTCCCAGTTCAAGTCCTCCCCATGCCTGCCACTGATATGTCTAAGGTTCCACTCCTCTCCCTGGTAGTCAAAGGTGAAACAGCAGCAGGTCTCAAGTTGTACAGCTGTTCATTTATTCCTATCATCAACACAAAGGAATTATTTACTGTTATACAATGATAGTTATTATGAACATTCGCCAACAGTGAAGTCTTGAGCACATTTAAGAAAATCAATGATCTCACAGAATTTTCATTTTAATGAGAATGACAGAAATCAAATGAACAAATACTGTTTCTTTTTTCTTTTATATGTTATTAGTTTTTTTATTGTGAAAATACCGTACAGAGGGGTTACAATTACATGGGCAAGATAATGAGTACATTTCTTATCAAGCACTGTTGCCTCTTCCTTTTTTTTTCCCTTCCCTTCCCTTCCCATCTCCCTCACACACCTTTTCAGCACATAAAAATAAACTTTTTTAAAAAGACTAAGAGAGTCATTCTGCCTTTGTAAAAACATTTTTCAAGGACAATTTTGTGATGTGCAGGTCTCATTGGGACACATGATAACTTTAGTTCTGGGCTTTGATCTGGATTTCCACCACCCTGCATCTGTGCTGGCTCTGTTGCTTTGCCCAGCAGTTGAGGATTTGCATGCAACCAGAGCACAGCCCACTTGGCCTGAGAACTTCTTTAAAGCTGCTCACATTCTGTGTATCAGTCAGTCCCAGTCAGCACATACCATGGACATGAGGGCCCCTGCCCAGCTCCTGGGGCTCCTGCTGCTCTGGCTCCCAGGTAAGGAAGGATAGCACTTCTTCAACCCCCTGGGAGAGGTCTAGGCCTAGAAGCCTGGGTCTTCATGGAAGGTCTCACACTATAATTAATTGGGTGGATATTTGTCTTTTGTTTCCATTATCAGGTACCAATTGTGACATTCTGATGACCCAGTCTCCATCCTCTCTGTCTGCATCAGTAGGAGACAGAGTCTCCATCACCTGCAAGGCCAGTCAGGGTATTAGCAATGTTTTACAATGGTATCAGCAGAAACCAGGGAAAGCTCCTACACTCTTGATTTACTGGGCAAACAATTTGGTATCCGGGGTGCCATCCTGATTCAGTGGGAGCCAATCTGGGACAGAGTTCACTCTCACAATCAGCAGCCTTCAGCCTGAATACTTTGCAACTTACTACTGTCAACAGGGTTATAGTTACCCTCCCACAGTGGTACAAGCCATAACATAAACCTCCAAGGGAAGCAGAAGTGACAGGCTGGGCTGCCCCAGCTGCTTCTCCTTGTGGTTTCACCTGCTGACAGTGCTTTCAGCTACAGCCAGGCTCTGAAGTTCAGTTGGGGATTTGGCCGAGGTGGTCAGTGACAATCCTCTCAATCTTAACTGTATTTCTTCAATCTCAGCCTCACAGTCATCATCCAGACAAGGCTTCTGCTGTCCTAAAAAGAACACAGATCTGTACTTCAGCGCATCTGGAATATGGTATCCAGGGGATATGATTTCCACTTGGAAGGCCTCACAAGAGAGGCATTTGCCCTCCCTTTGTTCCTTTTACACTGTTGCACCCATTTGCTTAGTGAATTCCCTTCTAAGTCTGAGATTCAAGGTTCAGCCTGACCTTGTCTTGACCCATCATGACTCCTCAGGTCCTTCTTTAAAATGAGGTTGTGCTGGGCATTGGTGGCTCATGCTTATAATCCTAGATACTTATGAAGCTGAGATCTGAGGATCTTGTTCAAAGCCAGCCTGGGCAGAAAGCTGCGAGACTTTTATCTCCACATAAATACCAGAAGACCAGAAGGGTAGCTGTGATTTAATGTGCAAGAGGGCTAACCTTGAGCAAAAGAGCTCAGTGACAGTGCCCAGGTCCTGAGTTCAAGGCCTATGACTAACAACAATAGGGATTTTTTTTTAGTAAAGTCCTGAGGACATTATTGCTCTGGATCACTAGCAAAGACAGAGAGAGATGAACAATGAAATTATATAATATGCTGGAAAATTTAGGAACTGGAGATCATGTTGAATGATATAAATCAGGATTCCAAAGCCAAATATTCCATGGTCCCACTCATTTGTGGTATGTAGAATTAAATGATGATGATAATATAATAATAATTCAATAATAGTAATAATAAAACATGGTAACAGTTCATTAAAGCAAAGTGGGGAAAATGTCTAAACGGAGATAAGTGAGGGAACTAAGGCACAAATAAATGAAAATTAATTAAGTATAATATAATATAATATGTATGCATATATACATATATTTTTGAAGAATGAAGTCAATTATATACTGTAAAAAAAATAGTAGGTGTTGGAGGGAAATAATAGTGGAAATAGAAAGTAGGTAGTTTAATTTTTCAAAGTACACTGAATTTAGGTATAGAATTATCATTAAAATCACCTCATGCTATTAATATCTGCAAAATAAAATTAATCCTTAGGTAAAAGAAAGTGGTATAATTTTGCAGTAAAATACTTGCATAGTTGTTTGAGAAGATTGCTTAACAAAACAAAACCAAAACTCCAAATGAAAATCTTGCCAGTTGCTATGTCACAAAGCTTCCAGGAGATGCCAAAATCCACACAAGTAGAAAACCGAAGCCTGATCTTAGAGACGTTGGGAAAGCAGAGGTGATGCTTCCCTTTTTTCCTTAGGAGCTTGAGCCTGGGGAGCTCTATTTCAGGCTTTCCTGGTACTCATGGCAGCTGGGACCATGTTTATGGAAGGGGTCATGTCTCTCATGTACAAGTTCCTATTTCATATTTCACTTTGAAAGTCTAATCACACAAGACAAGGCTGACACTTCCACCAGGATTCTTGTAGTAAAATCATCAAGTACTGATCAGAAAGGTGAGGGAAGGAAGGCTGAAGACATGCAGCCCTGAAGGGAACATGTGCACACACCATATCCAGTTGTGGGAGGTGAGAGGGGGCTGCACTGTCAATGCTATCCCCAGCAGGGGCCCAGAGTCCTCTGCACTGAGCAGGTCACTGCTTGCGCTCAAAAGTACAGAGTGGGTCCTGAGCTTCATGATGCTCAGGCTAAGAGTGAGGAAGGGCCATTTTTCCCTAGAGATCTTTTTCAGGATCAGAATTTGATATGATGAGTTAGACAAAGAAAGTATGTTTATACATGTGTTAATTTGATACATATGAACTATAGATGTATTACTTTGGCATTCTTTCATTTGTGAAGTGCTCCTATATGTTTTTTTTAGTTGGTGTGTGTTTTTTTTGTTTGTTTGATTTTTTTTGTTGTTTGTTTGTATTTTTTTTGCTAGTCCTGGGGCTTCAACACAGGATGTAAGTGAGGTGTTGTCTCTGAGATCTTTGTGCTCAAGGCTAGCATTCTACCACTTAAACCATAACATCATTTCCGGCTTTTTTCTGGGTAATTTATTGGAGATCAATTTTAATCCTGACCAGGGTGGATTCAAACCATAATCCTCAGATCTCAGCCTCCTAAGAAGCTAGGATTAGAGGAGTGAACTACCAGAGCCCCACGTCCTCTAGGTTTGAATTAGGACTGGAATTAAGAATCTGTCCTGAGGGCCCTGCTTAATCGCCTCCTTATCTCAGCCCCTGATAAGCCAATGAAAGAACTCTGGAACATCCTTTCCAGTGTCAGCCCTGCTCTGAAGTCTAGGTGTCTCAGACTTTCACCTTGTCCCAGACCTCCCTTACTTTCATGGCCCAGATTAAAAACATGTTCCTTTCCTGAAGCTCTTCCTTCTTTCAGGAAGATCCATAGAAAGTTCCTTTAGTCTCCTCCATCTCCCTGTCCTTAGCTTCATCTCTCAGCCAGTAACTCCATCCCTCACAGCCCAGAGCAATGTAAGCCTGCCAAGATCTCTGGTTGAAGGCCATTGTTTCAAACTCTTCCAAGTATTCCAGTACCTAAAGCTTTTGCAGACTTGAAACCTGCAAGACACATTTTCATAGTTGCTGAAGCCAGACCTGGTGCATGGATCACGAGAATTCATGTGTTATTGCTAGAGCCTGTCTGCTTTTAACTTCACACAGGTAGATGTCCTTTTTCATTCTATTAATAATTTTCCAGGTAGCCTTTATAACTTCACAGCACCCAGCTGCCTTTTACTCGTTTTATTTAGTACCAGCTTTGTCCTAGAGTGCATGGTAGAGAGAGCAAATCTCTTCCAGCAAAGACAGTGACAGAGATTGAGAGGACCATATGAGAAAAATAATGGTTAAATTTAAGAGGAATGACAGGAAGAGTATAGCTTTCGGTAGTACGTTCATACATCATCATAAAAAGAAGGAAGAACAGCATTATAAAGTCCTTCCTGAAGCAGTTGTGTTAGCATGTACTGCAGAGACCATTAATGTTTAGGAGAAGATGATCAAGTCAAGACTCAGATGCAGTTTATACAATAAATGGTAATGAAGAAGCCTCTGACTGGACAATGACTTATTTGTGGGCTCTGTGACTTGGAACAACTGTGTTATCTCCTTGCACCCACAGCAGATGCTTCCATTTGTGATGCTAAGTTCCATGTGACTATTCTACTTCTTTGTCATCAAATGTGACATCCTGCACTATACAATGCAGTATGTCACCACATGCTGATCTCCATGTTGAGCGGCCTCCTAACTTAACTCTAATTCCACTTCCTATTGCCAGCTGTGCTTGATTCCTCATGCTGAAGATGTCCTCTCCAAACTGTGTGGCTGCAGTTTGTCCTCACTCTGACCACAGAGCATTTTATTCCATCTGTGTCTGTTTGGATCAAATGGCCTAAATGCATTCACTAAAAAATGCTTTAGTACCAGGTATCATTGGCTCATCCCTGTAGTTCTAGCTACTCAAGAAGCTGAGATCTGCTCAAGGTAATTGGAAGTCAGCCTGGGCATGAAAATCTATGTGCTGCTTATCTCCAATTTACCACTAAAAAGCTGGAAGTGAAGCTATGGCTCATATTGTGGAAAACCAGCCTTGAAGACAAAAGCTGAGGAAACTACCTAAAATCTGAGTTCAAACCTCAGGCCAAGCACACAAAAATAGATCACTTACAACCTAAAATATATTGGTCATGAAAGATAATGCAGGGTTAAGGAGAACAGTGAACTTAAAGTAGAGTTCAGCCATTGGTTAAAGATATTAGATACACAAAGAGAGAGTGGGGGGAGGGAGAGAGAGCACTTTCTAGTAATTAAGATAGAAGACACAGATGTCCTCCCAAAGTTTAGTAAATGTCATATTAAACAGAAATGCATGACACTTACAAAGCTAGATATGGAGCCACATGTATTCCTATATATAAGGAGGAAATACCTTTTATGATCTGTCCTAGAGAGAGGCAATAAATCACAGCATTCAGAAGAGAAGGAAATGAGTCATTTGTATGGAGTGAACAGGGCACCAATACATACAGCAGAAAACACTCTGTACATCTCAGATAAAAATAGTTTATTTCACATATAATACTTTTCAAGAGTTTTATCTCTCATAAAACTTTTTGAATTCTATATATTTCTCAATCTGGATAATAATTATAATTATTAACTATATACTGTGGTTCAGGGAATTAACTTGAATGCTCTAGAATACTGTGTCACAAAATTCACAGATACAAAATGCAGGAAAAGTATAAAATTGACCTCCCTTAGGAATGTTTATCTCTCAGTGACTGGCTTACATTAGCATAAACAGTAAAGAAAATACTAGCAAGTCTTGGACAATATGGGAATTAAAAACATTTATTTTTCTCACAGGACAACATATTCTGTTCACCATGGAGAAACACATTATGTACAAGAAA